AGACCTAAGTTAACGTTAGACGCTTGCTGGCTTACAACAAAAGAAAACTTAAGACATCGCAAGTGCACGTTTTCTTTTACGCTGCTTTGTTTAATTCCTTGGCCTTCTTTGTTTTCAACAGCCTATCCAGGCAAACCACGAACAGTAGACTCTGGAGTGCCATCGTCCCACTGTCCATACTAGTGATAGACGTATTCAAGCATGCTTTTGGGGAAGATACGACCTCAAGGCAGATCACTTCATCAAAAGTTCATTTCATACTGCCGTGTTATATTCAACAAGTCCAAAAAAACATGAAACCGACTGAAAAAGATGCGAATAGGATCCTGGATTGGACGATCGCACTCTTATGTTTCGAATACCGCCCGCTAATTTTCCGTTCTATTCGCAAGCAACAAATAACCTTCTCAACGATGCGTTTGTTGCTTCATACATTGTGTTTCGACATTACCAGTTCGCTCGCAATAAACCTTGGACAGTCATTTCAAACATGCTAGTGTTATTTATTCTTATTTATTAATGCACATTGAAAAAAACTGATTGAATATTTATCTACACCACACGACTGAAAAAAATGCGCGGATAAGACTGATGTTCCAACCGTTTTATCTATCACTTTTCACTTGATGGACAAAATGCATTTGTTTTGGACTGCTTGTTGTTCATCACTGACCCATTGATCAGTTTTTATTTATCTTCTTGGTTCTCATTGTACCGAGAAAAGTAAAAGTGAGAACTAAAATGTATGCAATTACGGTGTTATCCCGTGACATTCGTTTTCGCAAATGTATCCGACTACCATGCCGCGTTCCCCGTTGTGTTGTTTTATTTCCGCATAAACCAGAAGTTTCGAGACTATGGAGTGCGGATTGAATCGGCCAATCAGAGTTTCTCGGTCCCGTCCATTTGACCGAATGTTCTAATTAAAACAAGTGTCCCTCACCTCCAAAAACTTATGGGTGCTGCTGGGAAAGTTGATTCATTCGAAGTGTGAAACTATCCTGAACATTGATGGCCAGACGAGAACTGAAAATGGGCAGCCTTACCTTTGAAATTGTTTTTGACAGTGTGATTGGATAGCTTGTTGACTGGCGAGCTAATTTCAGCTGATTTAGCATAGACGCAACCTGTGTATGCCGCGCCAGTTTCTGCATCACGCTATTTACGTCAAGGATCAAAGTATTCCAGGACAGAATACTCAGATTATAGACGTTATACACTACTCATAAGGTCACTGAAAAACATTGGACAGCCCACAACCGCTTTCGCCCTTGTTGGAGTTCATCAGGTGGCGGCAGTCCCCGAGATTCCGTCATCCTTATGTTTTACATGAACCGAGATTGCACGAACTTAGCGAAATACACACATTTACAACAAATTTGGTTTTTGTGAGGGACTCACCTGGAACCAAGCTGAATCTCTTGTTTATGGGTCACTCACACAACCAAATTTGTTTGCAGATGAGTGTATTTCGCTGTTGCAGCTTATACTTTTTCCATGTTATTGGAGGTGGTGCCTTTTCCATCTTTCAATATTTGGTAAAAGTCTGCGCTCCGTGACATTTGTAACCGTCATTTGTCAGTATGAGGCTTAAAATGAGCTTTCCAGTTTGTATACGGGCAGTGAAACCATACTAGCGCTGATTATACACCAGCCTGTAAGGCAAAGCCAGCTTATCATTGTGACATCATTACGAAGGGTACTTTGGAGTGAGCATATTAATCCATTGCACGCTGGGTTGCTAGAAAATTTTAGGCGCGTAACGGATGTTACGTACGAAAGTGTATCACTTAGAGCTCTAAGGCTGTCGTGAAACTCTGTAGCCACTGCAACGTAAAATTGCTCACCGTCCTCGAAAGTTATATCTCGCCATATCCTATCACTACCTCCGTCTAAAGTAAGTATGGGACGACGTCCATGAGAAGCTCTTCAGTGTAGTGTAGCACTGCGTTTAAGCTTTCATGCTGAGTTGGAATTGATATCAACGTGCGAAGTTTGGCGGAAGGATAAACACTTGTGCAATAGGGCCAGAATTAGCGAGACGACCGAAAATATCATGATTTCAAGGTCTAGGTTTATGCACTGGTTAGCATGGCAACAGGCTCTGAGTGCTTGCCACCTGGGTTTATTTTTGTGTGGCCAGCTTGATTGAATAATACAGGTTTCATTCTAACCTTTTTGAGAAAATGTCCCTTGTTTACGCCGTTTGCCTCATTAAAATTTGGTTCGGTGGTGGCTCTGGCTAGGGTTTGTCACGGTTGCCTAAACCACAATTTTCACAGCGAGGCTTAATGATGTATGTTAGGTTGATCCTTCGGGCCACACCGCTGTTCCCAAAACACTGATCGGCAGAGCCTATCAAAATAAGTGATCATGGTGGGATAGTATACGGCGTCGATCTCACTGCCATCTGGGTACGTGAAACATCAAATTTTGGTCTTAATTTTGGTGCGGCAAGTGCATTAGTGAAATGGTTACCGATTTTGGTAGCTACCAAATATTAAAAGAATTACATGAAGTACATAGTAAGCAGACTTTGTCTAACCGACCGCTGCAACTGTACCAGGAGTTACATCGCCTATGGATTAGTAAAGTGCAAATAACCCTATTCTAGTTGATGGTTTTTGTCTTGAAACTTCGAAGTGTATAACGTTGCTGAAGTTCATGCCTGCCACGGTTTTATTCCAATTAATACGGAACACTATTTTTGAAATATATACACGCATATAAAATTCGATCATATCGAGACAAATCTTCACTCTGTTATCCCACCAAACTGCTATGTTAATCGTGTACATAATGGTTTCCGATGGCAATTTCACTGTACAACTAGGCATACAAAAAAGAAATGTTACTTGTTCATTTATCAGCCATTTATCGACAGGGGTCGCGAGGATACATACAACACTTGAAAAAGTGTTTTGTATGTAAAGCTGACACGCGCAGTCTATCAGGAGATGCTTCCTGTGCTGTTTAGCAATAGCATTTACCCTGAGCAGTTTGTTTAGTATCTCAGTTTCTCTCATCGCGTTGGATGAAGTACGTGCAATGTTGGATACTACTAACAAGGCATGTGAGTGGTGTTTTCTCGTAAATCCGCTTAGCGTCTCTTGAAAATTGAGATCTATTACGGAATTTGTGGAGTCGCTTTGTACCATTTACTTGCATTTGAGTAAAAGTCAATGAATATCCAGGAAAGTTCAGCAAGACGCGTTCAAGGAGAAGATCGATATTCAGGTTTTTAAACAAGATGCATATGAGAGTTTTGCTCCCCTGTACAATAGTCTGTAACTGTTCAGTTGGGATTTCTCTAATAGAAACCTCCACAGAGAAGGCCTTCTTCCTATCACTAGTATTGAATATCACCGCAGAACTTTTATTGTTTTCTGGTTCTTAAGCTGATCTGGTAAAGATGGCTGATTCAGTGGGAGCATGAGGATAGTAGTAAAACCAAAGTGCTTTGCTTGCAGAAGACTGCGACGCTACCCTCTGGAACTGGCGTAGACCGGGGGAATACGGTAGGCCAGAAGACGTGCATAGTCAAGTTGAGAGGCATCAACCGAACTAAACATCGCGGTGTAAAAATGGGCACGAATGTCATCTGTTAATTCCTTTTAGTTTCAGTGCATTACCTCACCTTCCCTATTAGGAGACCACACAGGTCTTCTCCGGTGGCGCCTAATAACACATTACCAATATGGTACGGAACTTCACCTTCAACAGTTATGATTCTGTCGTCCCTAAGGTGATAATTTCGACAAACAGACAGGTTTTTGTGTGAATGTGTTTTACTTTGAATGATGCACCCGCTTTCGTGCGCTCTAATGTGCTGCGCCACAAACCTCTTTAGCCCTGTGCAGACGGTAATCCGCCATGCTATGGTATCAAGTGCCATATCTTCCAAGATTTGGACCTTCATACTGTTATCCTTTGATATTATTCTAGAAGGTATACAGTATCTGTCCATCAGCATTCCTATGATCAAGGAAGCTTTAACCCAGAACGTTTGACTCAGGAAAATTTAGGGTTTGATCCGTAAACGCACCAAAGTGTGGAACACCTTGATAATCCCGATCCCGCCGAATCCTAACACTGGCAAAAAAGGAAGACGTAAAATATGGTTATACCGTTGGAACTTATCTTTCAGTGGTAAGATGTGCTAACAGTTGAATAGCACAAGAAACACTTCAAAGCGTTTCCTTGTACCGATTGCTTTTCTGCACAAGTACTTTCAAAATCAAGGAAAAATCGGGTTATCTCACTTGTACCGTGAAACGGAATACTTTTAAGAATGTACAAAGTCGGAAGTTGGTTGTTTTCGGCAGAGTAAAGTGATAATAGCCCTTCAACTTTAAAGCAAGGCCAGTGCGTCTCAAAAGAAGACGCTTCCCGCAATTCACTACCCTCTGCGTGGATAATAGTTTGACGAGGTAATGTGTGCACACTATTTTTTTCTTCAAAGTATACGCTGACACTCCATTCATAACAACCAGCGATATTTTCTTGATAAAACACTACTCATGATTTTGTTGAAAGCCATTTAACATACTATGACTGATTTCGTTCTAGTTAGGGTTCATAGGATGGGAAAACTCTCCGAGTTTAGGCATCCTTGAGTTCAGCTTGATCCCATATTGTACGAAACGCGCTAAATATTACCCGAACAAAAAGGCTGAGCCGGTATGAATCTGAAGTGGTTTAATATAACAGATGGGCATAGCTCTATGAATTTAGGTACAATAAAGTGACGGCGAAAAAGGCAAAAATTCATGTGGATTGCATTTCGAAGTCACATAAAGGAACACAGATGCAGAACAACTGACAGAGGTCCAAATCCTAATGTGAATGAAGAAGTAATGTCCCGAAATAATATTGCTCTAACAGGTACAATAAGCATTCAGAACTCGTTGACTTACTCATTCAAAAAAAGGTTTAAAATAGAAATGCTGCTCGACAAATCCCCATATGTTTTCAATGCGACAAGTGTATTTGTCCCCCGGGATTGCGGAGACTAGGATGTTTTGTTTTTCAAACATTGCTCGTTTTCTTATTGGAATGCACCCTCGATCACCACGGCAACGGTACCATATCAACCTCCCGATCGGTTGACCGAAATCCGCTGCTCCACATTCAAGAAACCGAGTTGGTTGGTGCTTTGAAACACGGAAAATCTGTCGAGGTTGTTTGCGCTCGAAAACCGGGGCTCTCCCGACACTGACGAAAAATTTGACTTGCTCCTGTACACTGCCAAGAAGTGCGCTGGTCTTCCCACAAGACCAAAGTCCCGCGTGTTGAGAAGAATTAACGGGTTTTATGTATAGTAGCTCAACACCAGCGAGATTCCAAAATGAGTCCGCGTGCCCGTTTGATCCATGCGCTCTACAATTTGGCAAAATGCAGGAGACAAATGTGCGCCTTAAGAGAGTATCATATGCAGAGCTCTGCGTCATGAAACACTAGCCATTCGTGCTGTTAAGTCAACACAGAAACAGAATGTCTGTCAGTTTATTATGTAAGGCAAACATCTTCAGTCGGATATCACTGGACCGAAATCCGGGGAACACAAAACTGCGCTTGAAAATTTGATTTTTTCGGCGTCACAACTTAGCCCACTTCGCGGGTGTTCACTAAAGAATGGGCGAAACTTCTGAGCTACGCTGGGCCTACAATGTTTCACTGCTTCTGAGCCAGATCGTGCAATTTTACTCATTGTTCGGTGCTTTTACTTGGTAACTGATTTGGACTGATTCTCGCCTGGTACACCAACAAGCTGCTAGCAACCTATAGGAAGGGCACATTTTCACACCGGATATCTTCGTAAGTATCAGGTTAAAGAACCAAACTGATAACCTGATAACCATCCAAGAATTATTTTACTGAACGCTTCCGGGAGCAGAATAATTTACTTTTGTGATAGGCTAAATGTATATCACTTCAAACACTCGTCAGACGACTCTTACGAGGCCCACACTTCTAAAACATCTTTTAGCTATTCATTTCGAACTATTCTCCAGTTAAATCTGTCCCACAAAACACAACCCACTCAAAGGAAGCTACTCACAAGGTTGCTGAAAACTCTTCGACAGCCCACGACCGGTTTCGCCTGTCCCCGAGTTTCCGTCAACGTTATGATCTACTTGAACCCAAATTGCACTGTTTTCGAGCAATACACTCATTTACAAATCAATTTGGTTTTCACGGGAGACTCAATTGAATCTCTCGTTTATGATGTCCTCCAGCTGAATGTGCTGCACACAGCCGCCTCATGATTCATTTGGTACGATATTCGAGATATCGCAGTATATTTTCATAAAGGAAACTACTCACAAAGTTGCTGAAAACTCTCCGACATCCCACGACCGGTTTCGCCCTTCTTGGGGCCCATCAGGTAGGCGCAGTCTCCTGTGAAAACCAAATTGATTTGCAAATGAGTGTATTTCTCGACAACCCACTTAAGTCTACATTATGGAGCCTGCTCGGATGAAAGTGACTACATTATTTCTGTGTTGTTGGCCTGACCTGGCAAGCATTGTAGGCGTGACTACGAAGGATGAAGTTTTATTTTCACCCCAGCTTCTAAACCAGGCAGTTGAGACATGTGAGCTCAAGTTTGAAGGTGCAACCATCTCACCTGACACGATTCCACGTGAACTCCGGAGTCACTAAGTAGCCAGCCGTTGCGGTTTCTTCTTTTATACGGCAACCAAGCAGTAGCGTCCCACCCTCAGGTACGGTCACCAGATGTTCAGCCACGGGTTCTGCCGTTTCGTTCCGGTGGATTACGTGATACTCAAGGAATAGTCGTGGAACCACATGCAGCAAAACCATGACCTCAAGTTTTGTTTGACCGCCGAAGCTCTTAGCATGGCAGGACCAGGCGCCGTTGTGACGAGACGGATCAAGGTGATATAGTTGCAGGTGGGCTTGCCAAACATTGTTCAGTGCGGGGATTTTGATTGGGGTAACGGGATAACTGCGAATGTGAAAATCGTTAGCAATATTAGTCTTAAAGCCAAACCGATACAAAGACAGCGCGGCCGTATTACTTTTCATAATCATGATGATCAAAGATCACAAAAATCTCAACTAACTCAAAATGATATGAAAATTGACGTGTGTCCGACCATTCCTTAAGTTCAGTTAAAGCAGGTTAAGACTGAAAACAACAAGAAAGTCTCCAAATGAACAAAGTACCATTTGTAGGCTTCCAGAAATTAAAAAAATCTCCATTGGCTAACGTACTGTCATCCATTATCATCTCGGAAATGTGGAGTTACACACTGAACAAAAAGAGGAACTCATAAGTAGGCTTTTGTTTCTTAGTTATCATCACGGGCTTCCGGGTCATTGTTCATATCACATAAATTCTAGGGATTCTGACGAGTTATTTTGAAAAAAGGTGAAAGTATCTGAAAAAAGATTTGAGAAAGTTTGGCTCGTACAGAACAATATCCATAAATCAGCGATTGCTCAAATTTTGCTTTAAAGTAAGCTCCCTTTTCTCCTCTTGACCGTACTTGAAGTGGATAGGCAGCTGCAATCAAGTCCTGTTTGACTATTTGGCTTCAATGAATTTTGATTGCAAGATATGCTTGCCACAAATTTGACCAGGGTGATGCGACAATTATCGATTGTGCGCCCTCCGAAATTCTAATGTTTTTATGGATTTAATGGCCTAAAACGTTATTCTTACGAATAACAGGGGGCTAGGCGTTCGTCCATTTGCTTTGCGACCCACTGGATGGTAGGTAACCTGAAAGTGGATAAGTCCATCGGAAGTTCAGCGACTTTGAAATATAGTCTGGATTGACGAATACTGAAATAGTTGAAAGCAAATAGTATCCCGCCAATATCTGAGGCTTCTGCTTTCTTCGGAATTTACAGAGTTAACTTGATAATGTTGAGACTTATTTGAATCGTGAGAAAGGGTGTTGCACCTTTGTGAAATTTGGCAAGTTAGTAGGATAAAACTCTAAGCGGTTAAAAAAAACCGTCTCATCTTAGTTCACTCATTACTTTTTTGCCAACGCCTCTAGTTACAAGTGGTAAATGCTTAGTGAACCTTTGTGCCTGGTAGCATTTCTGGTAAGTAATGCCGTGGAGATCGCTCGAATCCATAGGTAAGCTTGACCTCCTCGCATTTTAAAAAGTCTGTGCACTCAAAAATACTTATCGATCAGATCGCCAACCCAATTTAGAACAGCGAAACATATTGAAAAAATAATAGAGTTCCGAATTTGAGCCATTATCTCGTCGCCTTTGTAACCCAAATAAATATAAGACACTGATGAGTCTAATGGTATCTGCTCTTTCGGACGAAAATCACGTGTTATTTCTTGTAAGAGAATAAAAATGCTATTTATGAGATGCCAGCACTTTGTACATCTATTTCATCTATCCATATACCACAATTTATCAGCCAAGTATGATGCCCATAGCAAACAGTCGAGCAATCCAACGTGAGCTTCACTCTGAGAGTCAAAATAACATACCGGTAATAAGCGTGCGTCGCATAAACAGGTAGGATGCATCTGGCGAGTGGAATAAATCTGTGCCGGGAAGCCGAATAACATTGTATTATTGAGGATAGTGAACAATGTGCACTTCAACAACCCTAAAACCTTCAAGTCAGTGGGTAGGCTGTGGATAGTTTCTTTACAAGTGACTATGGGGCAAAATGAGGGGAATACAGCCCGAAAGTCTAAAACACCACTGATCGTTCAATCACGCAGATCATGGTACCTGATCCGATTTTAAATGTCTTCCTGCCTTAAGGACGTCACATGAAGGGCCCACCCGAATCTTCACTCATAGTTCACAGTCGAAGAGAGGCTTTTACATTTCTAAGAGAAATCACCCGTAAAATTCCGCTTGGCTACTCACACAGTGACAAGTACTGGCTTAAACTTTAAATAAATGTTTCAAACCTCCTGATGATTTACAAATCAGAGTTCACTGATCCATTAGGCTTCACTGATGACCAGACAGATTGGCTTTGTATCAGGAAGTGTCGCAGTACTAGTAAGCCGTACGTTTAGCCTACCTCCAGCCTGATTCATGTGCCCAGTAATCTATGATGACATAGGCGATGGTGGATCATTTTCGGGTTACGTTTTACTTCTGACGCTCCCTAGGATTCTGAAACTTGGCTACTGGTCCTTGGACACAAACATTCAGGTCTTCTTTGATTGAACTCAGAGCTCCTCAAGCACACTAACACCACCATTCAAATTCAGTATGCGTTATGGTACCTTCTGCACATGTTCAAAAACGGATGTAGTTGCTCATCCAGAAAACGAACCACATGGAATCCAATGCTCCAGTTTTTTTGCAAAATTATCGATTACACTTCATACGAACCAATATATTGGGTGGGTTTGGTTTTTAGATAACAATTTATGGCTAAGTGAATTCGCACGATCCTCAATTTGGGGAATGCTGAATAGGTTTTGACGTTCAGAGAGAAACGTTTTGAGTATAATGAAAAGCATATTCTCCAGTCACGATGATGAGAATACAGTAGGCTAAATAATAGCATTTTCTGTAGTTTGAGGTGATGTTCACACAAGACTCCCTTCACTCCAAATTCTTGATGGGAATTAGGAAACAGGGGGTCAGTTGAATATCATTTATACTGATAAGGTATTCTCAATGAACCAGTTATTCACGCTGAGTTTCTGTTTCAATAGGAAGCAATATGGCAGTATTTTCTGAGACCTTATACTGAACAGCCAAACTGTGCTATCATGTCTACCCGACAAGCCAAAAATGACCGCAGCGCAAATGGATGCGAAAAATTGTTTACTTTGTTAACTTAATCACGGTGTAGGGATGAGAGTAATGGACAGGCTTAAATCACCTAGTTTTATAGCTAAACGAAGAACCCTGCGGGTGCTGTGCAGTGACAATAGATATAAAGGAGAGCGGTTGACTGCACTCCTGTATTCCAACCGTAACTTTCGCCTCTAGAATACACCAAGAATGAGGTACTGAATCTTTAGGAGCTGGATCCTAGAGAGCTAAAAGACTTAGATTGCCTTTTCATACAGATTTCTCCCTTACTTCTCCGTACGTATGGCAACATGGATTCGCTAATAAGGACTTGGGAAACTAATCCGAAGGACGACACAGGAATTTCACAAGGATCACTAGAAGCATTCATTGCTGGGTGGTGATCATTTGAAGATATGGTCTATAAGGAAGATAGTTTCAGCATTCATTCTGATTTTCAGCCACTTCATATATCATATAATCAAACGGCTTGACGGGTGAAAAAGTTTGGAGACTCCATACATAAGTTGCCAGAGTTGAACACATGAAACAAAATTATAGAAAGGTCGACTAATACTCACGTCTTCCCGTCTTTCAAGTGTGTCCAATAGACCGTTGGCATTCGTGCAGAAATGATCCAACAAGGAAGCCACGTGTTTGAACCGGCGAGTCGTTCAATCAGAGGAACTAATTCAGCAGCTTGTTCCGTGTCGAACTTGCACGGCCATCTTGAATACACTTGAAACTGGTGCCGGAAACTAGGATAGAGAAGATGATGTAAGTCTTGAATATCGTAAAATGACAGCCGTCCACTAACTCGTGTATATTCTTGATACTTGCACTTGTGCAACAGATAGTGCATGGTTGGGTAGCTTGGGGTACTTTAGCTGTCAACCGTAGGCATGTAAATGAGGGATTTTTGACATGTCGATAAAACTGCAATGAAATACCCATCGGTGTGACTTATTCACTCCTTCCACTAAAATCAGACAGGACGTCCGCTTACATGGAGATCCGTGAAATATATATGGAAGTAGGTCTGGTCTTCGTTTTAGTCAGTCCACCCAAAACGAGCTGAATCCATTTTTTGGTTGTGTAACCCGACTGAAATTTTCCAGATATGGTTACATAACCCAAACCTCAGCACTATCACACACACAATTCATCGTGCACGTTACCACGTTTCCTGTATGGTGAGTAGCTCGTAAATATAAACAAATAAAAGTTACTAATTACGTGTATGTATAGTGACCAGATGGAGGAAAGGTTTTGGATACA